AAACTTAAGAAATCACTACAGGTTTTTTTGTGACATGACTTGAAAACAACCAAAGTACCAAAGCACAAAGAAACAAAACCAATGGAATTAAATGAATAACTTTTTCTGCTCCTGGTGAAGACTTCAAAGGCATAACCTTCTTAGAGGCATCATCATTTGAAATGAGTCCATTGTTAAGGTTATAATTACCCGTTAACGAGTCGTGGCTCGACTCGAAACCCTTCAAAGCTGCCTGTGGAAAGCTGACCGAGAACTCGTCCGATGACCTGCCCGTGGCCCTATGCATATTTTCTTGATAACCAATTCTTTTGAGTAAATAATTTTTAACCTACATTTGATGATAATATTTTAGTTTTTGAGGGAACATAATGCATGGAATTGAATAGGGTTTGAGAGAGTTTGCAATACCTTAGCTCCTTCTTGTGATGGCTCGAAAAACATTTGATGCATATGTTTTAAATAGATTTTTATTTATTTTTTGGAGAGGATATTTAGGCATTGTTATAGCAAGTAATACCTATTTAAGTGAGGTTTTTATAGCACATGTAATTTTGGAGATTTATTTATTAATTTTTCTTTGGCATACCATTGCATTTTTGTCAGCATATCTTCTAATTGTGGTATGAGATTGTTGCAAATTAATGAATATCATTATTTCGTGTAACTAGAGAGTATGACACAATTTTTTTAAAAAAAAGGTAATAGGAGAATTAACCATTTATGATTTATGTATTGTTAAACATTACTCTGTAAAAAATCTCCTTAATTAATATATTTATGTGCTACTTTCCAAAGAACTATTGTATTTATTGTCATATTTTAATTATGTTCTCCATTTATTCTACTTTGATTATTCTCTTCATTTAAAATATATTTATAATATATAATTTTAAAAAATAGTTTACAACTCTAAATAATTATAAAAAAACTCAATAAAAAAGGGAGAGTAATCCAAATTATCAAATGGCACAATTTGATAAAATGGTGGTCAATACATACCCGAAAAATAGATAAAGAATCCATTATTAATATTAATATAAACATAATTTTGGTTTGAGAGTTAGCTCGGATAAGAAGGTTCACAGACCAGGTTAATATACTCAGAGCTCGAACAAAGATCGTAAGACGGTATGACGAGTTGAACTCGTTTTAAGGGTATAATCGAATGACCTAACTATATAATCAAGGATTAAGGCTACAATTTGTTATAAAAAAAAATCTTTTTTTTTTTTATTTTATTTTTTGTTTTGTTTTTGGAATTACGATTTTGTCCAGCTGGACAAACATCTGTTTTATCAGCACACAAAAAGGAAGGGGATTGAGCTGAAAAAAAAAAAATCCATTCTTGTTCAATTTTCTGCCTCACAAAGCATAAGCGAACAATAGATACAACCTATACATACAGTTTATTTCATGGGATGCATGAACACGATGTCCTTAAGGTCAACATCCATNGTGTAGCTTGTGCTGTTGATTTTGTGGGTTTTCTTGAGTTGTGAATGGTTTATATTGGGGCTGTTGAAAGTTTCAATCTTTCTTATGGGTTTGATGAAATTTATTTGTGCCCTTATTTGTTTGATTGTGGGTTGAACTGTAAGGGGAGCTATTAGTTCAAGGTAATGCTGATTATGATAATCAAACATACTTGTCTGAATGCTCTTAGTTCCTTCAGTGGTTCTTTTTGGTACTTAATAGAATACCTTCAACCTCAGTGTGAGTTTCAATCTATTTAGAGGGACTGTAGTGATGAAATTTAATGCATTCTTCTTAATCTTGTTCCGATAATTTGTTAAGATGCTGCTAAACTGAGTTGATCTAATGAAAAACAACTTCTTTTAGTTTTAAACGTTGTGAAATGCCTATACGTAAGTCATATAATCAAAAGCGTTTGACTAGGATTTTTGTAATGGAGCAGTGTTTATTTTGTACAAAGGTGAATGTAGATTAAGGGAGTGTCTGCAAAATAAAGAGGGTGCTTTTTCAGTGTTTTGAAATGCCAATGCCTTCGGAATCTAAAAGCAAGGGAAGTGTGTACTTCAGAATTTTGGTTTGATTTTAGATACTAATGAGAAGCCCTTTTCATATTATTATATTTTTTTATAATATTTTCAAGCACGACCAACTTTTCATTCTCAACTGCGTTTTGAATAATTACTTCCTCTTAAAGCAAAAATTAGTAGTTAATTTTAATTGGCATAAAAGTTCAATTCTTATACGTTGAGTCTGAACAGAAGGATGGATCAGCCATAGTATCTGAAGCTACAACATCCGAAGGCAATGCTCTTAAAATTAAAGAATTGGAAGCCACAATTATCCAAGATGAAGTTGCTTCAAGTCAAGGTATAAAAATTAGGAGAAGACCACCAACTGGACAACCTCTTCATTATGTCGGACCGTTTGAGTTTCGCTTGCAGAATGAAGGCAATACTCCTCGTAATATTCTTGAAGAAATTGTATGGAATAAGGACGTTGAAGTCTCTCAGGTAGCCTTAAACAATTTGCTTAATGAGCTGGTTAATTCAATAACTTTTTGTTTCTTATTAACATATATATTTGTTAATTGCAAATGGAGCTGGAAGAGTCATTGTTGACAATTCTCCTTGGCATAGTGCTAATAATGGACTAGATGAAAATGGCTCAATTAAATTCTAGTGCTTCTTCTATTAGTGAAGTTTCTAAAAAAAATATATATATATCAAACGGCGCAATGCACCTTGGGTCGCTACGGAAACAGCCTCCTTGTATAATTACAAGGGTAAGGTCTGCGTACAATTGACCCCCCAGACCCCAACCTGTTGGGAATATACTGGGTATGTTGTTGTTGTTGTTGTTGTTGTGTGTATTAACATATATACAATTAGATATTTCGTCTAGAAACGAAAGCAAAATAATGGGGGCACACTTGTTATTGAATTTGATATAGTTAAAAAAAATGATTAATATAAAACAAGTATTGAATCTGAACAAAAAATTATGAGAAGTGACTAGTGGAAGGAAAATGAAATATTTGCAGATTATGATGCATGTATTATTGGATCTTGAATGATAGATGAAAGAAAGAAAACCGCTGAGCACGCTGAAAAAGCTGTTAGATAATGCTCCCCCTGTAAGAGATTTTATTGGAGCACTTAAAGGCGCTAATACACGAACTGGTCTACCTGGTTTGATTGCCGAGGTAAAAAAGGCTTCACCAAGTAGAGGAGTCCTTAGAGAAGATTTTGATCCTGTAAGTAAACCTTTTATTTTTCTTTCTCTTTTTTCTCATCTTAGGTCTCCCTCTCTCCATCTGGGTTTTTTTTTCACATTATTTATATTAAAGACAGTGTTCTTTTCCTTTCTGTCAGTGATTTGAGATCTGTTTCAATTCATCTCCACCTAGTTAACTGTGAACATGTATAATAGGCCTATTCTACTAATCTTTTCAATCTCTTCATCAAGAAATGTAACTTACAATTGTATATCATCTTACGTAATGGATCACTGTTGCTGAAAGTGTGAATAATTTGGATTTTGCAACAGGTTCAGATTGCTAAAGCCTATGAAAAAGGCGGAGCAGCTTGCCTTAGTGTTTTAACTGATGAGAAGTATTTCCAGGTACAAGCCACTTTTCTTTTTCTTTTTTCTATATGCTAACTTGTTTAGTGTCATGCTTAACTGATCATTTATTTTACTTATTTAGGGAAGTTTTGAAAATTTAGAAGCCATCAGGAAATCCGGAGTACAAGTATGCTCATTGCTCATCTACCTTGATTTTCCATTATAACTTTCAAGACCTGCTCGATTCATTTTTGGACCTATTTTGTTAAACTGACATTCGAAAACTTCAATTTAGTGTCCCCTCTTGTGTAAGGAGTTTGTGGTAGATGCATGGCAAATCTTCTATGCTCGTGTAAAAGGCGCAGATGCTATTTTATTAATTGCGGCCGTTTTACCCGACTTGGACATCAAGTATATGATTAAGATTTGCAAATTGCTCGGTTTAACAGCCCTTGTTGAGGTACTGCTTCTTCTACTCCTTGATGTGTGTTGAGATACTTTTCCATGCAAGAATATATGAAAATTCCAATTTCTATATATCTTTTGATCGTGAACTAACGGTCTGCAGCTTTAATATTTTATTTTTATTTTAATCCTCTGTCTTTGCTTCTTCTAGGTACATGATGAGTTAGAGATGGATCGTGTGCTCGAAATTGACGGGATTGAACTTGTTGGCATTAATAACCGTGACCTCGGTATTATTTCCAGAAATTGTGCAGTTTGGACCATTATAAAGTTATTAGCTGTAATAAGTCCAGTTATTTATAGATTTTACTGATTGAATTGAGGGGTAATGGAAATTAAATAAAATGAAAGAAATTGATTCGCATACATGAAAAATTAACTCTTGGAATTTGTATCATGAACGAAAACATAAAGTTAGGAACTTGATTTGATTAACCCTTATTTCATGATTTCTTTTAGGAACATTTGAGGTTGATATCACAAACACGAAAAAGCTCCTTGAAGGTGAGCGGGGACAAAGGATAATCGAGAAAGGCATTAGTGTGAGTGTTCTTTAAAGTATCTTTGTCGAATATATTATTTTTATTCTTTTCTTACATAATCTCAATTTAAATCCTCATTTGTAAAACACTTTCAGATTGTTGGAGAGTCGGGACTTTTCACGCCTGCTGATATTGCATATGTTCACGAAGCTGGCGTCAAAGCTGTAAGTTTTCAAGGCTGTTAAATAAATACTTTGCTCAGTTTTTTTCGCCTTTTATCTTGGGATTTGGCAATATTAGAACTTTCAAATGCCTTTCGTCCAATTTATGCAAGAAAAATGGAACTATCAAGATGATGTGAGATATCTGCTAATACTACCATTATGTTTTAGCTCAATTTTAATAATAACCAAAAACAGGAAAAAAAAAAAATCAGTTCTCTTTACAAACATGCGTAAGCTCAAGTATACGGTTCGATATGTGTTTCTATTTACTGAATTCACATGTATAGCAAATGCAAACCACAAGGGATATCTTTTAATTTTCTAATACTTCAAGGGGATATTTTTCGTTCGACTCATTCTACAATAACATAAAGAAGCTCAAACACTTTGACATAAAGCATAAGCGACACAATTCTTGTTGTTTCACATATGACATATTGCATCTTATGTCAAACTGTGCCAATTTTTTTTTTTCCTTGCATTTAACTTTTTTCCCTGCCATCTTGTAATTCGGTTAGACTTCATGAGTATTTTTCGGTGAATATCCCAAAATGTAACTGCCCCGAGTGCATATTTTCTTGTGGATTTACAGGTTTTGGTTGGGGAGTCGATTGTGAAGCAGAAAGACCCTTGCGCGGGTATAGCTCAACTCTTCGGTAAAGATATCTCTTCATGACTGTTCATGGAAATCCAAATTTTTGTAGCTGCTTAAGCATGGAGATAAAAATTCTCTTGCCCAATAAATCCTATACAAAATTTGTTTAATCCATGGTTTACCAGATTTTCAGATGATGTTTAATGTATACTTACATTGTGCTGATTGGAAGTGTGGTCTAATAATATAAATTTAGTACATGTAATTTTGTTTCATGGATTAAGGCATATAATCTTGTGTGTATTATGTACAATTAGGAAACAATGACAATGATAATTTTTATTTTTATTATTATTTTTTTTTTCCAGTTCTATCTAAGATATTTGAGGTTTACATTATGAAGAAGTGAAAGTTGGTAACGAAATGTTATCAGCTTCATTTTGCAGAGTTATTTTATGAACATCTTGCTTTCCCAAATTTAATGAGTTTTTGTATTGCGGCAAAAAGTAAGGTTACATAAAAATTGCTCATGTGAGCATAAATTTTAAGATAATAACCCTATTTTCCCTAAAACCAACTTTAAAATATAATTCAAACGAATATGGCATTAAAATATCTACATGTCTATTTTCTTTAAATTACATTATCCTTTACACAAATCGAATAGTATTGAAAAAAGAAGGATTAATTAAACTAATTAAGTCTTATTTGTTTAACTCTAAGAGCATCTCTACACTAATGTTCTAATGTTGTTATAGAATTTTTTTTTTTCATAAATGTCAATAAATTAAATAGATTGTGAACCATTTAGGAAAAATGTTAAGTCTACAACTATGAAATAAAAAAATTACCTCAATTGCACAATGTAGTCTAACTACAATATTATCTACTTACTAAATATTAATAAGAATTAACAAAATTGATTAAATAATTAAATAACTTGAAATTGGTAAGAATAATTCTCTCTCTTCTCTCGTTGGCTAACTAGAGTGTAGAGGAAAATGTAGACATTAATTATGTCCAATCACATTAATTATGTCCAATCACAATTTATCTTATATATGTTACCATTTCTTTGTTTCTTTGTTCATTCACAATTTATCTTATAAAAATTTAATAATAAACAACATTTCTACAGAACATTGGTATCATCCAACTTAATCTCACTAACACCGTGGAAAAATAAAAACTAATAATTATTAAATATTTCTAATGAAAATAAGAAAAATACTCTCATCTACTCATGTTTTGAAGTGCTAATCTTCTCAATTAATATTGTATTATTTTTATATTACATTAAATTTGTTATATTTTTATCTCATATTCATTCCCAAGTTTAAATATATCTCACTTATTCTAATAACAAATTTTCCACTTTTTGACACAAACATTTTCTAAGAAAAATTATATCCACTTTAAAATTTTCTATTTTCTAGGGACAGAAGTAAAAATAACCACGCACTTTGGGAGATATAGGTAAGAAGAAAGAAAATGTTTTGGGCAAGTTTTCTACAAACTCTCATACCTACAGGACTTCATGGTAATTTACCAAAAAATAAAATAAATGATTAAAAAAATCATAAAATATCACAAACCCAAACAAAAACTCCTACACCAAAATAAAAATCACACCTTTGCGCTATCCGCCGCTTCCATTTCCACTTATCCTCAATCCTCCAGAAGCCTTAAACCCTCCAAACTCCATCTTCTTCCTTCCTTCGAAGGCAAAAAAGATGTCTTTTGCTGTGAAAGCCTTAGCAAACCCTGCGCCAGCTCATGCCCCCTCCGTCTTCTCCATTTCCAGAGCTTCGTATACAAACCCATGTCTCTCAATTCCTTTCAAACCCATCAAATTCAACCTCTCTTGCTCCCACCCGAGCTTTGTCTGCCTAAAGAAGAAAGAGCCCGTTGTGAGAGTTTCTGTGGTGGCGGCCCAGAATGAAGAGAACGACCCAGTAGCTCTCGAGGAGCAAGAAGAGGGTTTTGATGGTAAACTCGACTGGGATTCCTCGGAAAGCGACGCCGAGGGAGGGGAGAGTGTTGGGTATGCTAAGCCGAATGAAGACGCGAAATTGTATGTCGGGAATCTGCCGTACAATGTGACTAGTGAGAATTTAGCTCAGTTGTTTCAGGAGGCTGGTGTTGTGGATATGGCTGAGGTAAAAGATTGGATTTTTATTGCTTAATTGATTTTTTTTGGTTTGGGGGATTTGGTTTTTGAGCATGATGGTTGTGGTTTTTGTTGATGTTTTCATGAAAGACCAATCTTCTAGGGTCGTTGTTTTATGTGTTTGTTTTGGTTTTTAGTTATATTGAACTATGAGTCTGTGATGGTTGGATGTTTGCTGATGTTTCTTGATAGGGTACTATTTCAGGACTTTTATTTACTGGTTTGTTTATTTGTTTTGGTTTGGGATTTTGTTTTTTTATGGGTGTTATTGTTGGATCTTTAGATCTTGGTTTTTGAAAATGATGATTTGATTGAGTTAATAAACAACTTTTTTCTGATAAGCTAATGTTTTTATTGCAAGCTTTATACTTCTTTTTTTTTTCTGCTACTCCTGGCTTTGGAATCTGATATTTTGTATGATCGTTGGATCTATGAGGTTTTATCGATATGTAAACTTGTTTAGATGCTTCATTTTTTGTGTATTTTGTACGCTTTGTAGGTCATTTACAACAAGGATACGGAACAGAGTAGAGGCTTTGCATTTGTGACGATGAGTACCGTGGAAGAAGCTGAGAGGGCTGTCGAAATGTTCCATCGCTACGTAAGTTCCATTGTTAATTAATATGTTTAATCAAATTGAATTGCTCCCTTTTGAGCATCTTTTTAACCTCATATAGAGGTAATTTGTGGTTACCTGTAATCTATTCAATACCTTTTGGCAGTAGTCTTCAGCTAATGGCATGAGAAGTAAAGTGTAAATGATTTTTTGAGATTTTCCACTTATTATTTCAGTAGACATTAGTTATGTTATGCAGAAAACATACATTTTCCACTTATCTTTCTTTTTGAGAGACCACACTCTTTATCACCATCATCATTCACATTTTTTTTTTGCATTCTCTTCTCGTCACAGGATATTGGCGGGAGATTATTAACCGTCAATATAGCCCTCCCAAAAGGGTCAAAGCCTGAACGACCCCCTCGTGTGGTTGAGTCCGGTTCGAAAATTTACGTCGGTAACCTACCTTGGAGTGTGGATGATTCTCGCTTGGAAGAGGTTTTTAGCGAGCACGGTAAAGTGGTGAGTGCTCGGGTGGTCTATGATCGGGAAAGTGGTAGGTCACGAGGTTTTGGGTTTGTGGAGATGTCGAGCGAGGCCGAAATGAATGAAGCCATCTCGAACCTTGATGGGGAGGTATGCATGATTTTATGAGATTAATAACTCTTTTCTTATTTTTGGCTCTTAGTGTAAATTCTGCGGCTCGTTTTTTGTAATTATTTGTTGAGTTTACAATCTACTCAAACTAGTG